TTTTGCATTATGATCATCTCTTGTTGGTTTCTGTATTCTTTTGCTTTCCATCAAATATTGGATGTGCATGGCACTAATGAAGGTGTCCAAAAAATTGCTTGTTGATTAGGATTTGGTTCTGTCTTTATGTACCTCTTATTTGTAATCCCAATTCCAAGTTGTTATTGTAGTTCAATTGTGGTCACAAATTTTACGGCAATTGAGAAATCACAGTTCGTTTGCTTATATACGTACGTAAGCTTATGTGTGAGCCGATGGAATATTTTCTGGAAATTAACAATATATACATCCAACGTTACTACACCAGACTTGACGTATACTTTATGATTACAATGCTAATAAAGGCTATCATGTCATGTTTGATCGGGTTCGAAACCAACATCCTTAAACCCAGTGATTATCAAAATCCCCATAAAAATCTTGCCTTTCTGTAGTCAAAATGACATCCGACTTTGACTCAGATGTAATCAAAGACTCATTTCTCCAACCTAGCAACACTAATGTGCTTCAGATTAGAAGAGGGCTTCTAAAAAATTGCCCTATTCGAGTGAATTTCAAGATTGAAAGCGGAAATCAGTTTCTTGGACCTAAACAGAGTTGTCTCTTCTAGTAAACGAAAATTTGTTTGTATTTAACAAATTGCTATCTAACCCTCAACCCTCAAATTTATATAGTTGCTGCCATTAAAAAATCTAAAAAAAAAATATGTAAACAAAAATTGTAAAAGTTTGNCAAATATTGTAAAAAATGTTCATACAAAAACTATATATAATATAATTAATTAAAATATTATTACTAAATTTATATTGAATAACCTTATAAAATATGAAATGTCAAACTATTGATAAAAAAAAAATTAAAACAATAGCCTAAATAAATATATAAACCAAAATTAGTCTTTATTTTCCCTATTTAAAAATATATTTATCTATGAAGTTTTATGTTTACGATTTAATTAATATTTTATGATTAATTTTATTTTAATTAGTTTTTTCAGTCAATTTTAAAATATTAATATGTTCTAATTATAAAGTTGTCAAATATATGAGTAATATTAAAATGTTGTAAAAAATTATATAAAAGAGAATATTTCGAGAATATCTTTTGAGTTTGAGAATGAGTTTTTCAATTGAAGATGAATTACTGTTTAATGTGACAGTTACTGCAAAATAGATTGAGAATGAGTTCGATTGAAGATGGTTTTAGAGATGCCGTGGAAGCAAACTGGCCTCTGCTAAAAGCTGGTTGTAAGCGAGTGAAAAAAAAAATAGTAGAATTTAGATTTCTCGTCAGAAAGGGTAAATGGTGAGAAAGTAAAACAATAATTCATCTTCAACCAAAAAAATCGTTCTCAAACCAAAAAAAATATTCTTGAAATATTATCTTTCACATCGATTTTACAACTTTTCACTACTACCTACATATTTAACAATTTTACAAATTAGACTCCTAATTATTTATATACGATTGAAAAAAGAATAAATTAATTGTAAATTAATAATAAGTATTAACAAAAAAATATTGAATACATATTTTTCCAATAAGCAAAAAATATAAATTATTCTTTATTTTAAATTGAACAATATTTTAAGAAGGGTATATTATTTGAATTTATTATCAATCTTTTCTTATACTCTTCACAAATTAATTCAAACTGTTTTAGGAATATCTCTAGAAACATTTTGCAAATACATTCATATTATTTTTATTAAATCTATCCCGAATCATTTATTTAATTAAAAAAAATGTGGCAAAAAATAAAAAAAATAAAAAAAGTTGTGGAAAAAAATAAAACGGCCGGATTCTGAGAATCCGTGTTTCAAGGAAAAAGGATCCGTTTTTCATTAATTCCGATAGGAAAACGGATTTTCAGAATTCGTTTTTCCTTAATCACGTGATTACCCGTAATTAATTCAACTAAAAACGTGTCATGAAAATCCGTGTTAACTAACACGGATTTTCACAATCCGTTTTAAAAAAGAACACGGATTCTGAGAATCCGTTTTTATGTATTTTTTTTAATTTGTTTTTAAGTTAGGCTCGACTCTTGGATGCTCACGAACTCGTTTACCAGCGATCGCGTTTATTTTGGCTGAATTTTTATTCTTATCCTTCAATATGAAGGTTTGTTATAAATTTTGATTTAACATTTTGAACATGAAATAATATCACTTTAATATCAATTCATTCGTCAAATTATAAATCTAGCATGCATACATACATGAAACACTATATACAAAAAGATAACCACAATTACCGGGAAAAAAAAAAGTGAACCACAAAATAAATATCTGAAAATCTAGTACAAAAAAAAAAAAAAAAAAAATATCCACAAATTCACAGAATACAAAACAAACTAACTAGGAGTAAATGTTTTCTTCGGCTGGCGTTTTCGGGACCCTCTCTGGGGCTCCGGCTCCAAAGAAGACGATCCTGCGGTCGGTCCAGGCGTGGCTGGTTCTTCTTCTTCTTCACCTAATTAATTAATTTTTGTAAAAAATCAGTAATTCGACCGGATAAATAAATAAAAACAAACAAAAATAAAATATATATTTGTAGTTAAATAAAAAAAATCTCACCTTCTTCATTCTCGGGGAATGCAGCGGCAGGTTCACGGTCACAGCGTCTTCTCCCTCCACCAATGTGGGGCGCTGGCCTATGCCTCGCCTGTTGGGACTGTGTCTGCTCGGGTGGGGCGTACTCATCTTGAGATAGAATTTGCTCCGACGACGCCCCTTGTGTGACCGACTGACCCCCAACAGTCAGAGAAGCGTACAGAAGTTCCTGGGATTGCTGGAACTGTGACTGCGCTCGGGGAGGTAGTGTATGAATGTCTTCAATGTTCGATAGCATGTTATACGCTCCCTCCGTACCCGAATTCTGAAAATAAAATTCAAATAACTATCAAATATTAAAAAAATTAATAATAATTACTTCAATAATAATAATAATAATAATAAAAATCACAAATTAGCAGACACCTACCTGACACTTCTTCAAGTCGGCATATGGCTGAAACCCGCCGTCATGTGAGATCGCCGCGTAGTTGTTAGGGTCATTGAATAGTCTCACAGTCCTACTGCGATACCAATCAATGTACCCCTCTGCCGGCTGCAGGAAGGGATCCACCGGGACATCTGGGAGGACGTTCTGATCTCTCTCTTCGGTCCAGATCCTCCCATGATCAGCATGGAAGGCCCGCCAATCTGTATATGCCCTCCCAGTCATACCCTGGCCTTTGTGGCGGGTGTCTCAGTCGGCCAGACTAGTAATAATCGGCGTTTGGGGGATGGGCTGGTGGCACCGAAACTGGCGGAGCACCCTATCAGGCTGGTGGGGTTCTGCGATGTTCTAGCAGAAGATCCACCCCTTGTACATCCAGAGATGTCGGTCTCGTGTACACTGGTTCAGGAGCCGACCCTCGTCTATGTACGTCTGATAAAGTACCCAATCAAATTATAAAAAAAAACATTTATAGAATTATTAATGAATTTAATAAAAAAAATAGAATAAAAGAAATAATAATTATTTATTATTATGAGCTAAGAAATTTACATCAGTCTCTTTCAGGCCACTCAGCTGATCTCGGATGGTAGCCGTGCCCGTCCCCAGGTGCCTCATGTCCCTCGATCCCACCTACCTTAAAAATCACAGAAAAAAACTATTTGTAATTACAAAATTTGATAATTGAAATAACTTAAGTGTTGAATATCAATAAAAGTTATTATTACCTTGTACCCAAGGGACAACCAGCCTGAGAGCCGAAATGCGTTTTTCTCATGAATGGGCGAATACGAGGGATGCGTTCCCATACCCAAACCTGCACATATGGACATATACATTTTTTAGCACGTATTATTATAATTTATAATAAATAAAATTAATTTACAATTAACACGTAAATAAATTTACCTGAATCAACTGCACGCAGCCCTTGATATATTTTTCGTCCCTCTCGTAAGCGTCGCAGAGCGCTCTATATACCCCGGGCAGAAGCGCTCCACCCCAGCTGTACCCCAGAATGGCATCGATGACATTCAACAGGGACAGCCAGTAGAGGTTGACTCCGTTTCCTCGATGGTCGGGGAAGAAGAAGGACCCAATACACCAGAGTATCAGGGCTCTCGCCATCCTCTCGTACTTTCATGTAGGGAGTCCATCCTCCAGAGGTCGCTTGCACTCTTCTTCCAGACTACTGAAATACAGGTATTGGCCTGAAATGTCCCAAGTCTTAGGGTCGTAGTCCTGGTCCCCGAGATCCTTGAAATACGTTTATATATATATTAAAAACGACTCATCACTTAAGTATACATAAACACAATAATAAAAAAAAAATAATAAGCAAATAAAAGTTTTAGGTAAAAATATACCTGTACATAATGGGAGGTACCCTAGAGCGTCCACACAAACGGCTCTCCACTCTTGGGGAGTCCGCTGTACGGTCTGTCCCCAACACAGTTCCCCGCTGACGGGGAGGCCAAAGAGTATCTGAACGTTCTGGAGAGTGATCGTGGCCTCCCTGAAGTCGAAGTGGAAGGTGTGCGTCTCCGGACGCCACCTCTCCAGCAGGCATGTAATGAGGCCATTGTTTNCCCCCCCCCCCCCCATCCGAAACAAAGGCCCGAAGTCGGCCTTCTCGATCACCTCCCAGGTCCGGGCATTATGGTTGTTGCCTTGCAAGGCAGCCTAGAATTGAGTGTCCGCACGGCCTGGCTTAACCACGCCGTGGCGAAACCCCGGTGCGTCTTCATATACCGCCTTGGACCGGTGGCGGTTCTGAAGATATAGAAGTGACGGGTCACTCGGACCGGGGTGTGGGGTGTAGGGTTGAGGGTTCGAGGATGACGAAGCCATTTTCTGCAAAAATGACCGAGATTGTAATATATGTTAATTTTGAACTAACCGATATTTATATATTATTTAATAAATATTATTCATTTTTTGTGTATTTAATTGCTCAAAATCGTGGATAATTAAGGGAATAATTAGACAAAATTTTTTTACATTTTTAAGATATCCTAATTACGCAGATCGTGTAATTTCGATTGATTTATTCAGTTCTAATTTCTTATCAAATTATTATAAAATAATTGTGTTAATGACAGTTTCTATTTAATTATTTTTAATAACTATTTTTTGGTCTTATTAATAAATAGTATCTTTATATTTTTTTTTCCTCATATTGCTAAGCATTTTACTCGATATTAATGAAAGAAAAATCTGGATAATACTATGGTCGATTCTTCTTTTTAATGAATATTTGTAATTTATAAATATTAATGAATATTTCTTACCCGTGCATCGCACGGGATTCGTACTAGTTTATCCTAAAACAGATGTAATATACTGCAACTTCAATAGATTGTACAAAAACCTTGAACACGCCCG